AAAAAAAAAAAAAAAAAAAAAAAAAAAAAAAAAAAAAAAAAAAAAAAAAAAAAAAAAAAAAAAAAAAAAAAAAAAAGAAAAGAAAAGAAAAATATCTTGGATGGAAAAATTCCATTCAACTTGGCCGCTACTGAAATGAATCTTGATATTCTATATTAACTGTCACATCTTTATTTTTTAAGTTGTATAATGTTTGCAATATCCAGTTGCAGGTTTCACCTACCCCATCATTTTTCTTGTCGATGTTTTTTTTTCTTCTTTCTTTCATTTACCTTACTGAAGTGTTGCTTCATATCAAAACATTACATATATGTCCAACTCTAAGTATGGTTTAACAAAAAACATTTAATTTGGATACTTTTCTTTCTCCTTCAATTTTTTTGTTCTTTGCCTGCTTTCATCTTTTGCGAAATAATCAGGTTGTTTAGTGTGCATCCTTTTTTATTTCACTTATTAGGTAATAATATAGCTACAATTTTCTTTTTTCCGTTCTTTTATCTTTTAGGTAGAATATTTCCATGTGGGTTTATAACTATTAATGATCGATATGATTCCCAACTTGGATAGAAGTTCTTTCCAATTCAAGATTATAAGCGGTCCAGTGTTGGATCAAAGGATATGATTTCTTGTTCTCCTTCTAGGTGGATAAAAAAGAGTATAAATCTCGAACCTGATAGGCAATATGTACAAGACATTCACCATGGTTATGTTCTGCCAATGCCTGATGTATATGGCAATAATGCAATTTCTTATATATCATTCAATATTTAATAGATAGACTTGTACTTAGCCTTGAACCTTTGGATCCAACAGGTTAATGAAGAAGCAGGTGACAAAGTTTTGGAAGTTGAACAGAAATATAATGAGATAAGGCGGCCTGTTTATGTGAAACGGAATGAGATTATCAAAACTATTCCGGACTTCTGGTTAACTGCCGTTAGTGCTCTGTTTATTTATTGACATTTTACATATTATGTTTGTAAAGTGTACTTTTCTTTCCCCCTTTGATTCACATGTCCAATGCTTGATTTATGCAGTTCTTGAGTCATCCTGCACTTTGTGATCTTTTGTCCGAAGAAGATCAGAAGGTTAGTTGCGTTAATCTAAAAATGGATATTTCAGCAAGTTTCTTATACTTCAGTTTATTTTGAAGTCCTAATTCAATGAGACTTTTGATTCTGTATTAATCAACTGCAAACAAGTATATACTCTCTTAATTGTTGGTCTCTTATTCTTGGCGCAGATCTTTAGGCATTTATATTCTCTTGAAGTGGAGGATCAGAAGGATGTAAAGATGGGGTATTCCATCATATTTGTAAGTTTCAGCTAACCTGTTTGACTTATACTGTGTCCGTCCATTTGCATCATTCATATCTTCCCTCAATTGCAGAATGTGATAATGGTCTGTCACTAAACTGCTGAAAATTACAGAATTTCAACGAGAATCCTTATTTTGAAGATAGAAAGCTAGAGAAGACATATACGTTCTTTGAAGATGGAGCAATCAAAATTACTGGAACAACAATCCTGTGGAAGGATGGCTTGGTAACAGTTATTTCTATCTAAATAATAATTTATGTGGTTAGTTAATTCAGTTTAATGAGTAATGATAATTTTTGAAGGGTGCATCAAATGGAGTTAACAGTGAGAAGAAAGGGAAGAAGCGACCCTTGGCCGAAGACAGGTGCTTCCTTACCCCTTATTTGATTCCATCCATCTTAAACAAAGTCATAGAACCTCAAAGTTTGACAATGACCTTGGTTTCTCGAGTGAAAGCGTGCTTGAAATTATTGCAGTCTTAAAGCTCAAAATCTTTCGAACTTTTTTCTTATTTTAAGAAGTTCATAATGAGTTAATTAATGGATGAAAACTTTCCTTGATTGAAATTGATTTAACGTTTAACACTGATGTAAAATGAGCTAGCCCATCTATTAATGCTTTTCCTTCCTAGATGGCGTGGGAAAGATTTTCTTTTACGGTTAATAAGCCACAGTTACGATTATGTTAAAAAAGTAATCTCTCCCACTCAACCGCAGGGCTAAGCAGAAAGATGAGAAAAGGGTGGTGTGCCATTTATTTGTTTTATATGTTTTTTATTTAATATTTGCCTAGAAATTTCTAGAGTTGGTTCATTCTATATCTATATTATTTAATTATCTATCTTTCATCAATTCTATGTTAGAAGGGTTTTTATTGGGCTTCGTCTCTTTTGTAATTTCATACCATCTAATACTATCTATGATAAGGGAACCCGAAGAGAGCCACCGACTCCAACAATTGTCTATGTACGATTCATACTAGATTTGAATAGTTGTCCATCCTACCTTCTCTACATTCTTGACATCCCATCTTTGTCTCAGTAGATTCTTCCAATGACATGTTTCGGCCTTCTCTCCCATTACTTGTCAAAAGTGAGCCAAAAATCCGGTGCAATGCTTCAAAAGAAAATTATTTAAAGCCATAATAAATGAGTAGTTTTCTGTCAACTGTAGGGTAGAATATATCATTTAAAAATTTCTGAATCCGTGTATTCAACATAAAGTTTAATTAGCATATTAAAAGGTATTTAAGGAAGAAACTTCTGATTTTCCATTACGTGCCGATGTGATGTGTTACCATTATGCTATTACCCTATTACAATGACTTCTGCTTTCATATTCTCAATGATTTTTCTTTGTCAAATAGAAAAGTTAAGTTAGTAATACCTTTCTCCTCTTTTCTCTACCACATATGGTTTCTTGTTTTGATATAAATTCAGCATATTTACTCCCTATATTGCTCATCAATTTTGATGTATGCAGCTTCTTCAGTTGGTTTGGTGAAACCGAACAAAAAGATATCATGGAGCTTCATGATGAAGTAAGTTTGAACATTTTTCTGCCCTGTAATTATTATATAAATGCCCAGCATGTCCTCTTGTTAAGTGTTAAGTAGTACACTTCCCTTTCTAGTCATTTGAATTGCTGCTCCCGTTTGATAATACAGTTGTGCCAAAGCTAGATGTAATAACTCGTTTAAGTTTCTCTTCTTGTAAGAACTCAATGCTTTGGGTTGTACTTACGTGCTTGGTTTCTTGACTTAAAATGCAGGTAGCTGAGATAATTAAAGAGGACCTGTGGCCCAATCCTTTGAAATATTTCAACAACGTAATCTCCATCTCCTTTGTTATCACTTTACCTATTCTTTGAGACCCCCCCCCCCCTTTTTGTTTCAATTGTTCTGCTTGGGGAGATACCCCCTCCCCCATCAAGCTCAGTTGCCGCGGTTGTTCTTTATTTTTTATTTCCTTCCCCCACTTCGGAGTCTGGAATGCCAATCCTTCAAGCAAGAAAAATGAGGGTTCTTCTGATTTCTTTTCAGGATATTGATGAAGATGAAGAGGAGTCTGATGGAGAAGATGAGGAGGAGGTAAACAAGATTAAATTTTACTTTCACCGTTGCACTCAAATATATGGATGATATTTTGGGTTCTGCCTTCTGCTTTCTTCCTATTCTTGAATCACCCGGCATACATCTTTTAGACAATCATTCCCGAGCCTTCATCCAGTTAACTAAAACCTTATTCATTCTCACATAATTGATTATAAGATTCATATATACATGCATCTAAGTTTTTGAAATATTGTACATGGTCCAAGTCTAGTGTTCTGCAACTGGATTGTTACTTTAACTGCCCCGTACATGTAGCCAAGCTAAAAATTCAAGAGTAATCATCGAACTTTGGATGATTAATGTGTAGGAAAACGGAGACGAAGACGATGATGATGGCGAAGAGTGAACCGTAAAGGACAACCCTTGTTAGACACACCCCTTTAGGTACCCTCCTTTTTTCCCCCTTATTCCTGTTAGACACACCCCCTAGGCACCCTCCTTTTTTCCCCATTGTTCCTGTTAACCTAGGATATCAATTTTTCCAATCTGGGATACTTGTTAATGCATGGTTGTCATATTTATACATCAATGTGCTATTTTACCTTCTAGGCTATTTTGGCCTCCCCGTATCATTTAATATGCAGCCCCATCATTTTTATGAGTTGGCCTAGTGGTCAATAAGTACCAAATGGGCTTAGAGATCAGAGAGAAGGGGTTCTTACTTCTAGTGGCCACCGACCTAAGAGAATGATACGCTGTAATTGGTTGCACATTTTTTTATGTAGATTTTATTTTTTCTTGATGACTTCTTAAAATAATAATTGGGGCATATAAATAATATTATATGCCCCAACTAAGCCCATCATTTAGTGGGGTAATTTATTATTTTTTTTTGTTAATAGTTTTTTTTTAAAATTCGAAGAAGATTCAAACCTCTATCCCTCTAAATTCTTCTAAATTCTCTAAGTTAGGTCACAATCTTTATTAAACACTCATTTATCATGCATAATTTGGGATTAGTTACCAACACATTATAATGGTACTAAAAAAAATCAACCTACTTTAATTTTTTTATTTTTTTTAATCTTTGAAACTGAGTACGAACAAGTTAAATCATATTTATATTAATTTCTATAGTACAGTCTTTACCAACATTGCTTTCAAAATGGTTGCGACAGAATTGAAACATCAACCAAACAACCTTGTAAATNAAAAAAAAAAAAAAAAAAAAAAACGAAAAACTTATATGGAGCATAAAAGTATTGGGCCCACAGTCCATTGAGAAATGATCCACATGCATTGTTTGATGGGACAAGAGTCCCAAGAAAATCTCTAATAATTTTGGTCTGCAAATGACATATGGGCCTCATCTTTCCCACAACTTTGGGCCCTTATGTTTGTTCTTAAACCTGCCCTAACCATCAATAGAAGAAAGCCTACGTATTTGCATTTATTTTCATTCCCCACATTTTTCAAACATTTATAAGACTCCCATTTATATATTAATAATAATAATAATAAAAAAAGATGATTAAAAAGGGGTTTGAACATGGGCTGTAAATTTACGATGATAATATGGCCGCAAAGCTGAGCATATTTTAGTACCAAAAGGTGATTAAAGCACAAAAGGGAAAAGAAAAAATAATTATTTAATTTGATAACATTACTGTTTACCAAGGGAGCATAATTAGGATTAGTAGGACATGTTTTTTTTTCTCTCTTTTTTTTACTTGATTAGTTTATGTGTTTTTTTTTTTTTTTTTTGCTTTATCCATGATTTTCAGGAAACTTTTATGTCATATATTAAACACTACTTAATGATATTCAAGTTCTTATGAGCTCAAATGGGGATGCCTAATCATTTTTAGGAGTTTCCTGGTTTTCATAGCAATCTAATCATCATATATTAGTTGGACGAACGATCGTACATTTAGTAATGATCGAGTTGTGTTACCACTATCAAACTATCATATTATTATAATTATGATATAATATTGTAACGTCTTACCTGCATTGAACTAAAATTTAGAATCCATACATAAGTTGTAAAAGTAAAGACTATTTCCATAAACTAACACGGGTCTTTTTAGCATGCAATTGAGAGGTCATTTAACTATCTATATCATATCCAAATAAATAAAGGAGAAAAAAAAAAGTAATTTACAAAGATTGTGGTCCAAGCCAGAATCAGGTTTTGAGATTCTGGTCATTCAGCATCTTGCTAACTCCCTCCAATTTTACAGCTATTGGCACCCACATGTGGCATCATCATCATCATGTGGCTCACTTCTTTCATCATTATCACAATTGCTAGGAAGTCTTCAATTTTATACTTCATATACAACAACATTACTTCAACAATACTAAGGGATAGCACGAGTATACAATATCGACTCTCGTAGACTCCACGAGACTCGAGTTATTTTTCTCGATGAAGTAAGTAGTTAATTTTAAGGTTTGACTTGAGCTTGAAAGGTACATGAAGTTTAGCATCTGGGATGGATGATGGATGGAAGCAAGGATTATAATCCAAAATGGAAGGGGCAGAGCACATGGAATGGGGAGAAAGCGATGAAGAATTGTTTAAATTACTTAACCAAAACAGATGTTTATGTCTCCAAAAGTGAATACAAAGCTGTCTAATCCATCCTCTTCTCATTTTAAATCCATCCAAAAGCATTTGGGTTTTTGTGAGTTCTAAAATAACTTCAATCTCCCAACTCTTCAAACAACTTTAGACGCCTTACCAACTACACTTGGGGTCTTCTTATGCTCTTTCAACTCACCTTTTCCAAACACAAACCCTTTTCTTAATCGTTTAAATTAATTATGAACACTTGGGGGAATAATTATAAAAATCCTAATGAGTTGTGATTTCCAACCACAAAAACTCTTCAAATTTTAGTTTTAATTATGTGTATACCATGGAAATTCGCATGCTCAAATCATTTCCTTTTTCTTTTTCTCGTTGCCATTTACCAATTTGCCTTTTGTAAGCTTCCATCATTCTTGTTTTAACGTCTAATACGTGGAATCCCACATCAGTTGAAGAGGAAAACGAAACATTCATTTCAAAAGTCTAGAAACTTCTATCTAGTAGACGCGTTTTAAAAAGCTTTGATGAGAAACTCATAAGAGAAAACCCATAGAATCTAATATCTATCTGTGATGAGCTTAGACTGCAAGAATAAATAATTGAAGATGAATATGAAATGACATAGGTTTTGCAATTATTAAGACAACAATTCCAATCAAATGTCATTTTTGTAATACAAAGTTTTTTTTTTTGACTTTATTTAGTATAGTCTATTGTTTCATAGACATTCTACATAATTCATATTAGATTTAGATTCAATTGGGCCTAGCGGCCCAACTATATGTATAATTGGGCTCTATAAAGGTAGGCCCAAGAGGTAAAAGGGGATCATGAATTTGTATATACTTTTTGAGTTACATTACTCTACATTTATTTCTTTATACCTTTAAATAACAACAACAAAAAATAAAGTGATTTAAATCAATTCCAACTGTGACTCTATTTAAATCAACCCGCACACTATATTTGTATGTAATTATATCAAACTTTCTTTCTCACACATATCTGTATTTATTTAATAGCATGTGGAGTGGACATTTTTATGTTATATTCTATTTATTAATATAATTATCTTTTATTTATTTATATATATATATATATATATATATATCTATTCTCTGCAACACTGAGCAGCTTCCATTCAAAGCTCGGTCCTTTACTGACCGTAGACCCCATTCGCACTGTCCAAAAACAAAAACCAAAAAATAAAATTAGTTTTCTAAATTTTAAAATTACCCCACAGTTAATTTTCCCCTAATTATTTTAAAATAAAACTTTATGTTAAAAAAAATGTAAATAAAATTATAATTTTATGTATGTTAGATGATGAAAGTTTCATCTTAACTAATGTAGAGAATGATTATGAATTTATAATTAAAGAATATTATCTCTACGGTACGAAGCATGATGAAAACAAATAAAAAAAAGAGAATTTTTAGGTTAAAAAGCAGCAACAAAAGAAAATCGTTTAAAAAAAAAAAAAAGTGTGGTTAAAAAGTCAAGAGATCAATGATTTGGGTACGAGAAAGGGAAAAAAGAAGCATGTTTGCGGTTGGTTGTGTAATAGTCTCAAAGAATGAGGGCTTGAATGCAATTTAAGGTAGTGTAGGTAAGCTCACGTCACTGTCGTGTACTGTTAATCTCCATTCACAACCATTCACAAACTGCCACCTGGAAAAACCTTTCATTCTTATTATTTCACTTTCTGTCTCCGGACTCCGAAATTAACTAAAGTGAAAATAATAATAATAATAATAATAATAAACTTTTTAAATTTTATTTTTCCTTTGGGATGCTTAGAATGTAATAAAAAAAAATAAAAAAAAACTAGAAATATTATATCTATTTATGTAACAGCTAAGCCCCATCATAAATTATAGGAAAATTTTAAATAAATTGATTTATACCTTTTTTTTTTATTATTATTATTAAGTGGAAATTGGTGGGTTTTAAGTGGCATCTAAAATAATTGTTGAAGAATAGGGGGATTAAATTGCAAAATTTGAGAATAAATATGTAGTTAAAGGAATCACTTTTAAAAATGTCCCAATCTCTCTCTCTCTCTATAAGAATAAGAAAGAATCCATTCTCCCCACGCAGCTGTTCCTTCAAATCTCGTCCTCTCCACCTTTGACCACTGCTTTCTCTCTCTGTGTGTTGTTTCCTTTTTGCTCCGGCGAAACAAGGAAGCTCAGTCTCTACGACGTTGACACTTCCTTCAACCACTAAAAGGCTTTCCTTCTCATCTCTCTCTTCAATGCCGAAAATTCCTTTCTCCTTCTTCTTCCTCTTCTCATTGCCAATGGCTTCTTTTTAACCCATTCATCCATCGCACCCCCTTTTCTCTTCTTCCTCTTCTTCTTCTCCGGTGGGCTTTTTCTTAGCCTCCAATGGCGGAACCAGTTGCAGAGCCCAAGGCATTACCCGAACCTGAAAAGAAAAAGGAACACACCCTTCCTTTCTTCCAACTCTTCTCTTTTGCAGACAAATACGACTGCTTTCTTATGATCCTCGGCACTTTCGGCGCCATTGTCCACGGCTCTTCCATGCCCGTTTTCTTCCTCCTCTTCGGCCAAATGGTTAATGGCTTCGGCAAAAACCAATCCGATTTTCACAAAATGACAGCCGAAGTCTCTAAGGTACATATATATTTACCCAATTTCTCTCTTCTACCATTCTCATCTTCTTTAGATCTCAGATCCGACTGTTTTCCTCTGTTTTGCAGTATGCTCTGTATTTTGTCTACTTGGGTCTCATTGTCTGTGTCTCATCCTACGCCGGTAAGTAAGCTAACCCCTTCGTTTTATCTTTGTTTCTGAATCCAACAACCCAAAATTGATAGTATTTGTTGATACTTTTGTACAGAGATCGCATGTTGGATGTACACAGGGGAGAGGCAAGTGAGCACGTTGAGAAAGAAGTATTTAGAGGCTGTTTTGAAACAGGACGTTGGATTCTTCGACACTGATGCCAGAACAGGGGATGTTGTTTTCAGCGTCTCAACAGACACTCTTCTT